TTGTGGGAGATATATCGTACAAAACTAGCAAACTCGTTAATATCAAATGTCAATTTTCTCAAAATTGGAAAAAATACACCAAAATCAACTAAATACTTCGAAAAAAACATTGCACTATTTTTTTTTTTGTACAGTGTAGCATTTATTGAAATCTTAAAAAAATTAACGGAACTTGAAAGGGTATTTTTAAATCAATTTTTCAGTCTTTTTTCTTCGATAATATTCGGCTTTTAATTAAAAAAACTCCTCCCCGCATAAATCAAGCGACAGCCCTGATATGTATTATCAGAAAATATGTACCAATTGCGTAACACTTTGAGTCTAGTCATGGGCAATATCGTTCATTTCAGTAATTCGTTCTGAACGAACTACTTTTTTTCACTGACCGATTATAAAATCTTGTTAAATTGTTCATTTCGTTCACTTCCCTTCTGTATATATAATTGCATATTTTTTGGTTATAATTTTATGGCTATTCGTATTTATGGTCAATTTTAAAAAAAAGTATATGTAATGGGTTTGTAAATTAGTCTCTATTTATATAAACCATAAAGTTTAAAACGTAAAGAAAACTTTAAAACTTACTTAAAAAACTGTTGTAAAAAATTATAAGTAATATCTTAAATTTAAAGAAATAAAAATTTTAAACTATTCGAGTTTAAATTTATTATTACTTATAAGAAATTTTTAGAATATGAATAATTATAATTATCTTTGTTTTTAATCCTTAAAAAAATCTGAAATCCTATTTCAAATTTTTTAAACTTTTGTTTAATATTTTATTTTAATTCCTATTGCGTTAGAATGTTAACTTATGATAAATAATTTTTTTTTAGTTTTTTTATTTTATTTAAAATATTTAGGTAAGAAACGATCGTAATTATTACCCTTTTTCAAATATTTTATGCATAAACGTAAGAGATATGGTAGCCCAGTTAAATGCTTCCTTTTTACCGACCGTATTGTGTAAACAGTAGGTAGGTTATAAGATGGCAACAAATTTTGCATATCGAGTTTTCGGTGGGAACTTCTCCATAGTAGGGAAGTGTAAATAAACTATTTTTAGCAACCTGTCGGTCTGTAGGTCTGTCGGTCTGTCGGTCTGTGTGTGCACGCGTGTATCTCAAGTTCGGCTGAACCGATTTTGATGAAATTTTATATGTAAGTTTGTTTCCACCATGGTACGGATCGATCAACTTTTGGTATATATCAGGCCGCGGGAACTGCACTTTTTAGCGGGCCTGTTTTACATTTTTGAACATTTTGAAGAAAATATTCAACCGATTTACTTGAAATTTTATATATAAGCTCAGCTCGACCGTCCGCAAAAATTCGTATGTTTTGGAAGAAATCAGGCATCGGCAACTAGACGTTTACTACGGGCCAAATATACATTTTTGTGTATATAAAGAGAAATAATCAACCGATTTCATTGAAATTTAATATATGAATTCCCCGTATTAAAACAATGAACATGTAAATTTTTTGGAAAGATCAGGCATCGACAACTAGACGTTTACTACGGGCCAAACATACACTTTTGTGTATATAAAGAGAAATAATCAACCGATTTCATTGAAATTTAATATATGAATTCCTCATATTAAAGCAATGAACATATAACGTTTTTGGAAAGATCAGGGCTCGAGAACTGATTTGCGGGCCGATTTTACATTTTTCACCATATCCACAGACCAAATTGATGGAATTTCTTGAAATTTGATATTTGAGTTCTGGTTGTTACCGAAACTAACTGGCGAGCATTTTAGGGGATTCGGGTAGCACAAAGCGAAACTCTACTAAGAGCCAAATTTACATTTTTCTAAGTATGTTAACTATAAGCTTACTAATGTCCTAAAAATTGAAAGAAGTATTTAACAGACATTTTTATAATATTCTGTAACACTTTCATTTAACTAGACAATACACAATGCGGTCGGTTATGTGCTGACCACATCAGATTTTTTTTTTATTTCATACCGATAGCTTTCGATTTGAATCCACTAGTCCAATCTTTCAATTTTCTTATTTAGATAGATTTTCAATTTAGTCACTTTTATTTGTAATTCATTTATATTAGGCAATAATCAGGTGTGACGTAAGGCGGTCAATTTTATTTGTATTTGTATTGCATTTTATTTATATTTGATCAGTTCTCGTTCGTTTTTATTTGTATTGGATTTGGTATATTATTCAATTTTACTTGTATTGTATTTGTATTAGTTCTGATAACCCGAATGCGGTCATTGAACCGAGGGCATCCTGGCCCGGGAGGAATTACTGGCAACGATCCCGTTTAGTTTTCACGATGGGCAGGCTTAGATGGGCTGTTTTCTCTTTTAGGCCCTTCAAATCTCTAGTTGATGACGAGATATATCCTGCGTTTTTGCATAGGGGTTTCCAACATATAGCTAGAACACTGTTGGAAATTTTTCGTGCCAGCTACGCGTGGAGATACATCCCTCAAGCATGGAAGGTGCCTAAAATGACGTATATTCCGATGGCAAGTAAGCGACCAAGTGACCACCCAAGGTCTTTTCGTCCCATCAGTCTTACTTCTTCTCTATTGAAAAAAATGGAAAAAGTAATTGATAGATTCATACGGGACGACGCACTGGGAAGCAATCCCTTGCATGAGTTTTAGTACGCCTATCAGTCGGAGAGGTCTACCGTAGTAGCTCTGCAGAGTCTAGTGGAGGTCCTTGAAAACTCATTGGAAGTGCGGCAGTTTGCTGCTTCCTTGATATAAAAGGAGCTTTTGATAACACTTCATATCATATCATCTGTTAGTCGTTGCACAAACGAGAGATTGATGCAACGACGAGCAGATGGGCTAATCGGATCATCTCCGCTGTAAAACGGTGTCCGCAGGATGGGCTTCTTTCGCCCTTTCTTCCTGTGGTCAGGGGGGCTCCAAGGCACGTGTCTGGGGTTACGCGGACGATGTGGCCTTCGTCATACGGAGTAAATTTGAGAGCACTATTTCTGATCTTCTACAGCAGAATTTACGTGTTGTGGTGGTGCGAAGGCGTTGGGTTGAATATAAATCCCAGCAAGAGCACTTGAAGAAGGGATAAATTAACAAGCCCAATTCTGTTTGGTGAACGAATAAATTACTCTAGGGAGGTGAGATATCTGGGGTAACCCTGGATGATCGCCCCCGCTGGAATACCTATATAGATAGAGTTATCGGGAGGGCTACGGCGGCCTTGTAGACGTGTATGAGCTTTATCGGTGGGACCTGGGGGATCAGTACCAGGATAGCACTGTGCCTATATACGGCCCTTGCTTGGCCCATCGTCACCTACGCGTCGATTATATGGGGCCATAAGGCTCAGCAGGCGGGTGTGCAGAACAAGCTGGAAAAACTGCAGAGGTTGGCCTGCCTGGGAGTGACCGGGGCAATGCGGATGACTCTTACCGCTGCGTTGGAGGTGATGATTGGGTTGCCACCACTGCACCTCTATATAGTGAAGGAAGCTCGGCTAGTGACTTACCGACTTCTCTCTGGTGAGGACAGGGCAGGGCGAAAGTTGGCCCACAGGACTCACAAAGACTTCATTGAGAGCGATCCGATTCTAATAATAACCATGTCGGATACCTGTCTGCCGCGGTACAACTTCGACCGCAAGTACAGGCTTCTGTTTCCCGATCGATGGACGTAGGGTCGGGGTGGCCCGGTACTTGAGTCGGGTTCTAGCATGCGGTATGACGGATCCAAAACGGAGTCGGGTGTGGGTTCGGGTGTATACAGTGTCCGCCCGGACACGCGTGTATATGCGACCTTTGACCCGTATTGCGCGGTGTTCCAACCCGAAATACATGCAATAGAGGCCTGTCTGAGAGTCAATTTAGAAATGGGGTATAAAAACCGTACCATCTATGTGTTCTCGGACAGCGGAGGGCAGGGCATTGTTGGCGCTTCATTCGGCTCAGGTTACATCCAAGTTGGTTTGGGGCTGCCTTGCTGCACTTGTAGAATTCGCATCGGTCAACAGAGTCACGCTCATTTAAATGCCGGGCCACATTGGCCATGCGGGCAGCCAGGTTGGAGTTGGCGTGGAGGGGATTTGGGGCTGCCTTTTGCGTAGCCGCTGCCTTTCTGTGGTGTGCCTTCTTCCGTCGTGAAGGCCAGGCTTGCGTGCACTGACAGGGCACGAAAGGGTGCCGTCATGCGAAGGTGTTTCTTTTAGCGTGCTCCAGCGGATTCACCGCGGAGTTACTGGGAATGAACAGGAGCGAGCCGGGTTCGCGCTATTGCGAATTTCTTCACGTGGCACTACGCAGTGAGGTACCACCTGTATAAGCTGGGGAAGTCGGTCTCCCCGTGCCGTGCACATCCTTTGCGACTGTCTGGCACTGGCTGTTCGGCGCCGGCATTGTGTTGGACATGGGTTCCTAAGTGTTCGGGAGCTACTGCCAAACTCCCTTAGGAATATCTCCGGCTTTATAGTTGGGACGAAGATATGGCTTTATAGTTAGGACGAGGGGCGTGGGGAGGCTACAATATGTCAGGAATGACTGCGGTGGCTCGGGGGGTTGCTCCTGCCCCACTCGGTTCCCTTGAAATCTACAATCTACAACTGATTCGGTCTCTTGTGTATAGGATTTCATTTATTTTACTTCACATTTGCTTTTATCAATATTCCATATAGGAATATATTGTTCGTTTTTTTGTATTGGATTTAGTATATCGTTCAATTTTACTTTATTTACATATATTAGCAACTGATTCTGTCACTTTTGTGTGTATAGAATTTCATATAGGAGTATGTCATTCGTTTTTTTTTAATTGGATTTAGTATATCGTTCAATTTTATTTGTATTGTGTAATATTAATACAGAAAGAAATAGGGAAATAATAAAACAAACATCAATTATCAATGTATATGCAGTAATTTTTTTTAATAACTTCAAAAGAAAATTTCAATTTTTAGTGAACGATTCATTTTTGAAGAAGTGAACTAATCAGCTAAGTTCAGTGAAGTGATTCGTTATTTAAGATTAGTTCATTCGCGAACGACACATGACTATTTGCGTCTGTATTGAGTAAGGCCGAAGGTGGAACAAAAAAAAAATACTTTTCTTAAAATAATCTCCCGCATACTGTAAATTATTATTTTAGTGCAATTTAATAAGTTTTAATAGAAAACGAAAACACAAAATAAAGAAAGAGCGGCAATGGGTTTAAGTAACATATTGATCTTAAGTCAAATAGCTGGGTATGTTATAATTCTGATTCTTTCATTATGCATTTTTATACCCATTTATTTGCAAGTAAGTGATTTTAAGTAAGTAACGTTTAAAATTTTGCGTTTTGCCAATAAAAATCACTTAAAAATATTGATGGCAGATAAATTTTTAGCGGACACTGCTTGCTTTTCGCTAACGGAACATGGAGGGAGGACGACGGCTTATTTGATGTTAAGTGGCCTTCCAAGGTTTTCTGCAATTTCCCTATGGCTACTGGAGCATTCCTTTTCTTTTTTGCAATTTTTCAAATATATAGGTAAAAAGTTCTTACAATTTGCGACCATCATTATTCAACAAAATTCACTTAACAGGTTTGCTCATCTTGCATATAACCAAAAAGATACTTCTTTTATTGGATTGTTTTTAGACGTAGCTTTTGGAATTGTAATGCTCTTTCTAATAGTAATATCTGCTGTATTTATTACCGTAGGGTTTATATTTTGGTGTAGTGCTATGACTGAACGCTTCCCTTCGTGTGAAATAGCTGCCGGCCAAAATATCACAAAAGAAAATGAAAAGGTCGATACATCCCGTTTCTATATAGAAATGGGCACAGCACAGGTATTTACTTAAATATGAAAACATTTGTAAAATTTGTTATAATGGGGGGGAGGAGGCAATTTTTTCCATTTACATTTTGTATTTCTTTGTTTAATAGTGCATTTTGCTTTTTCACTCACAGTAAGAAAAAAGTTGGTGAGTACCATACCGTTTTTGATCATTTTTATTGCGTACATGTTCTCGGTCAAATGCTGATGTGACAAATACGTTATTTTAGGATTTTTATAGTTAATAATATCTTAGGTTTTGGGGGAAGCCCTCTTAAAATATGTAACCCGTTTTTAAGTATCTTTTTTGCTTTTATGAATCATATCAATAACTTTTACTAAATGTAAAATAAAATAATATAAAAACCGATGGCGTGTGGATCATAATGACTAACATTTTTTGAAAATTTAATACTAAAATAATTCACATCCATGACCCTAATACGTAGACCGCGTATGTCTTCTAACATTTCTACAAAATTTTTAAATTTTTATGGATAATTTTTTGTGATGAAATCAAAAGTATAATTAGAAAAAACGACAAAATACATTAAATATGTACACACATAATACTCTATATAGAATAAAAAAATTTCAGCAGTTCTATATTTCAAACATCTCGTCATCTCTAAATCCAACTGTCCCTGATGCTATTTTAAAGTGAGTACCTAATAACAAATTTCTTAAATCTTACTATTATGGCAAGCTTTCTATTTACAAAATTGTTATTTCCAAGCTTTAGTATGCAAGACGAGACTTTTAGCAGTGATTCAAGTTTTTAATCTGATAACCATCTTTATGTGGTTCAGTTTTTGATGAATATGTCAAGCAATCAACTGAAGTGAAATATTACACAATTTAAGGTGACTTCAAAAGCATTTCCGTGCCAGCTGGAAAATTGATATTAAAATAAAGTAAATTGTGAAAATAACATTTATGAACAATTTGTTCGTTAGAATTAGTTTATAAAACTTGTGGCTCCAAAAGAATTTATTCTTGAATCCATTACCATAGGATTTTATTTCAAAGAAAATGACTTCTGATGACTTAAAAGATTTAATACCGCTTCATATTATATTTATATATAAATATATTATATACTTAATATGTTTTAAAGCTACATTAAATATTTAAAAATACTTATAAATATAATTTTAATTAACAGTTTTCTTAAATATATTTTTATAAATTTTTAGCAAACAAATTTCTTAGTGCATTCTTTGGGAAGGTACAAGTTTTATAATCTAAATCTAAAAACGATGTAACCATTCCAGGACGTTGTTTTGTTAAAAAAATTTATTTTACTTTAAGAGAATCTTATTTCCCAACTAGTACGAGCTTTTAAAGTTCTTTACTTTTAATTTTGTAAAAGAAAATCAGCTTAGAAAAACTGAGCGTGTAACGCACAAAATGTAGTATATTAGCAGAAATGAAAATATTTTTTATTCAGAAAAATCAGGAAATCTTTTAAAACGTCTAAAAAAAATTTCGAATATTTCGAAAAAGTATCAACATTTTTAATAGAAAATACTTTTGAATTTTGTTTTCTTTTTACTTTTATATGTATTTGTTTCGAATTATGGAATTTCCCTATATGTAGGTACGTGGATCGTAAATTTTTTTTTAAACAGTGCAATTTGAAATAAAAAATGAATATGAACTAAAAATGCATCAACTCGCTTAATTCTCTCTCATTTTGTTTTAAACTTTGTAAACATAATGTGCAATGTGTGTGCTAAAAATGAGTGTAATATAAAAAATTCTATTGCATAATTAAGAAAAAATTTATTTCAAATTTTAAACTCGATTTATTCGGAACACAAACATGGTATGGCTCGCATCAGCATTGCACCGACGATATAATATGTACTTTTTTTTTAAATTTATGTACAAAATACGGTCTCTAATTCATTAACTTTGTTTTTGAAGGTAGTAACTTGAATCGATAATTTAAAAAAAAATTAGTTATGTGTGGGAAAAATTCCATTAGAAAAAATGAAACCTTTATCTAATTTGAAAGTGAAATTTAAAACGGTATAAAAAAGTTTTACACTATTAGCATGTTTGTTTAATTTCAAATTCCATAGATTCAGTATAAAACCTATACACATTTGAAAAAGAATCTTTGAGTCCTTAATTTCTTCTAGATTAGCATTATACTGACGCGCGTTTTGCTTTTGAGTACATAAATATGGGTAAAATATACAATGCCTTTTTTAGTTTGGTGCATGGGGATCTTTTGCGTTTGCAGTTGGGGTTATTGTGACATCACTTTTAAAATTAATAAACAATCATCAAACAACGAATATTCGTGTTTCCATGTATTTGGAAAGACAACGACTTGTCAATGAAGATTCATATATTGGGCCGCTGGATAATCGTTCTGCTTCTAATTAAAATAAACATAATGAAACTTATTTTTGTGATATTCATTTTATATTATAATATACGTTTAATGCAATAAAAGTAGTATTATGTTAATTTACAATATGGGTGCTCATTTTTTTTTAGTTTAAAATTGAGAATAGCTTCAAGAATTAAATAAAGCATATTTTTAATAAGTCAGTTACACACATAGGTATATAAATGAAAAGAATCAATTCCGCTCAAACCCAATTTATTTCTTTTTTTCATTAGTTTTAAAAATTCATGTATTCTTAAAATTTATAATAACAACATCAAAATCTTTAAATAAATAAAAAATAGACTTTCTCAAACAATTTTTATATAAAAATGCAAACTAGTAAATTTTATACCATTTCCTTAATTGAATCTAGTCCTAAGCTATATTAAAAATACCTACCTTTAGCGCCATTTAATTTACTTTGCTTTTGTAATTGATTTACCCAAAAATTTTTTTCTTTGGGCAAACATATGCAAATAAAGTTGTGGAAATATTGGAACGTAAGAAAGCATTATAATCCATAGTAAGTGAAAATAAGAAAATGTAGCGTTGTATTTATTGGGCATATCGATACTCCAAATTTTATGATGTTTGGCGTAATTTTGAGCCCAATAAAAACATAAAAGCTCTCCTGTAACACCAATTGGATACAAAGCTATAAATGTTGTATATCTTAAAAATATTAAAATTTGTGGTATTATGTTTAAGATATTTAAAGCATAATATCCGTAACGAATAATTTCTGTAATTGACCACGCTAACAGAGCAAGTGGAAGCCCAGGTGAATTTTTGGCTTCAGGGGTAGCCATCACAACTCCGCAGACTACCATAACACGACTAAAAACTTGAAATGTAGTCAGTATGGGATTACTTTTAACCAAACCAAGAGCTGCATTAAAAATCTAAAAATTTAAAAAGAAAATTTACACTTAAAAAAGTTCAGATTTTGACGTGCATACATGTCGTCGTTTAAAAAACAGAAAGCACTCAGTGCATTTTTAGTGCACTACTGTTAAGTCACTAAAAGTGCTCAGTGCAGAGTTAAGTCAGAAAAACATATTTTTTGTGGCAAAAAATTATACAAGTTTAGAAAATATAGACGTCAATCCAATTGCACTAATTGAGTTTACTCAAAACAGTTTCTGACTTAGTGCTTTCTGCTTCTTAACCGATGCTATATGTATATATCTACAAAATAGTGATTGAAAATATTCAAACTTTATAATGGTATGTACAATATAAACTCATATACGCCAAATTTTCACTTCAATTTGATTGAAAAAATTTTCCGGTCAAATTAATATAAAAATATTTTTTATATGTACATACTTCTAATACAGCAGCATTTTGAAATATTATAACTGTCCAGCCAATATAATCCCATAAACTTTGACCTGGAACTCCGACAACATAATACGTCATCAGTTGGAATAACATAAATGACCACCTAGAAAATTATTAAAATAAGTATCTTGTACATGTGTGTACATATCTACAAGTAACATGTACATATGTGTACTTATACCAAAACATACCCTACAACTTGTCCTCCATTATACAGCAGCAAATATAATTTTGTAATTAACCTTTGTGATGATCCAACTTTCTCTTTTGCCATTTCGCTGTTTATTTGAAACGTAATAACTAAATCAAAGCGTTAATAAACAAATGTCCGAATCATTGACTTGATCGTAGTACTTTTATAAACTGATTAACATTTGCAAAACATAAACTACATCCAAGCTTTTAATGAATTTTAATTTGATTTCAATTTGTGTGGTTTTTTTTTTCATTAATTATTGCCAGATGCAAAGTGCCAGGTGTGATAATAGAAAAATCTTCAATTTTCACAAAAAAATAGCCTAAAATGTCAAAAAAGGGTTACATGTACAAATTTGAAAAATTTTACGCAGTTTGACGTTCCATATAAGTCACAGGGATGGCGAACCTAAGACACACGTGCCCAAGGTGGCACTCGTCTCGCTAATAAATACAGTGCAAAATTTTTTATATTTCCGATATTTGCTTAAAATATAAAAACTATATTTGCTAAAAATTGTTTCCAAGAATTTTTTAAGTGAAGCCTGTATTTCCTTTAAAAACAAATAATATTATCATCCTGATATTGATGACTTAGCGGCAGCAATTCAATAACAAAAATCTCATTAATTCTATATTTATAATGTATGTATAAATAAGATTATGTCAGTTATAAATAAATCGGCATATTTGTGTAAATGACATATATTTTGATTATTTTAAGGCACGCGAGTATTTTCATTTTTCTAAAATAATTATTTTTGGCACGCAGTCCGATAAAGGTTTGCCACCCTGATATAAGATATACAAAATGTAAAGCTTGTAAAGCATGCAAAGCGTACATTATGCATTTGCCTTTATAATTTTTTAAACTTTATATAAAAATTTCTGTCAAAAGTAAAAAAAAATTGAGAAGGCAACTGAACCCCTGTTTTTCGTTATCTACACTGTATACAGCCCTATCATGATTTCTCCTCATATGAATTACGAATTTAGCAAATTCATTTCGTAGAGATTATGTGCCTGATCGTCTATCTCGCTATTTTACTCGAAAAATAAGAAGAAAGTGAATAAATATCATATACTTGCATAATGTAATTTTCGAGTGAGAAGAATTATTCTGGTACAAAATAGTGCACCTCGTTTTTTTTCTAGAAAGCATACCAAATTTATTCACTTTGTTTTTGAAAGTGAGACGTTTAATCGATAATTTGAAAAAAAATGCATTAATTCAATTCAAAAAACGATTAATCTTATTGGAAATGTGAAATATCCATTAGAACATACTGAGAATTCTGATTTAAAAGTGAATAAAAGAACGAAATACACGATCGGACTATGAATCCGCAATTTCAACACAATGTTTCGGAGTGCCAAAATCAGTATGTTTTTCAACTGTCGAATGTTTATTTATGTTTTTTGTTGTGCTATTTGAGTACAAAACTTTAATAAAAAAGGATATTTTTTAAAAACGGAGTCAACGCTTTTCATTTTTGAGTCAAACAAAAGAATTAATAAAAGAATGAAAACTTGAAAATGTATAACCATTCTTTTTAAATTGCTTGATAGATGTATTTCTTCCGTAAGCTATTGAGGGTTATTTTTACTATGAACGTAATTCATGATTATTTTATTACAAATACTCGAAATAGAAACTTAGTAATTCGGAATTGGGAATATGAAATTCGCAATTTTGCGAATTTCGGAGCTACGAACGAGCCTGACCTGACAGTGTTCCAATTCCTTATACACCTAAAATCAAAAAACTAAAGCTAAGGAGAAAGCAAAAACAAAAAGAAAACTGTCATTTTCATATATGTTAAAAACAAAAATGCCGATGATTACACGTTTAGTTTTTACAGAAGTTTCATGTATTTTGTTTTTGTAAAAAAGAATGAAGAAACTGGAGAAGGATTTTAAATATTCTTTAGTTGAAACTGATAGTGTAATCACCTGTCACGTTTTTAGCAGTGACAAACTGGCGTGAAAATTGAGTGTGTAGTGTAATCAATGCCAATGGCAATGAAAAACGTTCTTTCTATCATAAACGTGCTAGAAAGGATTTTAAAATTAAAATATTTAAGTGGCAGTAAGGTACTAATATCTGCTTTGACAATAAGAGCTCCATCTGTAAATAAATATGTGATATATATATAAATATTTGTGGTTATTTACATCACTTATTTTTTGATCATCCGTTGATGCTTAAAGTTACGTTTGACGGCTTAATCTGTTTTTCGAATTTTTGTGGCTCAATTTTCGCGAGCTACATTTTTAAAATTCTTAGAGCGAATCTCTAGTGAAAGTAGTTCAATTGGCGAAAAGTAGCCTAATTTGGGCATTCTGGCCAGATGTTGCCAGATGAGAATTTATATCCTTTGCTTCTTAAAACTGATCAATAGACGTACACTAAGTCCTCGAGATACGACATCATAAATAGACATATTAAATACGACATGATATAAATTTGGATCATTTTTATTTGGTTTGCGACATTATTCCTGATACAACGTTAAAAATTAAATTTTTTTTTGTTTTTGGCAGATTTTATTATTTTTTGAATAAAAATCTATGTCGAATTTAGTTATAAGACAAGACTAAAGCACATACTTCAACAATAAACTCCTTCTAGTTGAAAATTCTAGTCAGTAGTTAAAAATACGAATTGAAGTGATATAATATCAACTTAATCAGATTTTATTTTATTTATTTTTGTTATAACGTTGAATTTTTTTGGATTCGTTAATATATTTTTTTGTTTTTTTTAACTTTGTTTCCTTTTTTTAAAAAACAGGTCAATTATATTATAAAATAGTTTGTCTAAATCACTTTTTGTTTCCATACACTTTTTCTACTCCTCAAACGACAATTCGAGTTACGACATAAATTTCTGGAACCAAAAATTCGAATTTCGAGGACTTAGTTGTATGTTAGATAAAAAGTTACAAAAATATGCATATAATGATGACAATAATAATATATATTATATTCAGTGTTCCCACGCGGTAAAAATAAAATGTATCCAATTTCGAGAAAAAAATGTATCCAGTAGTAGTCTCTTAAAGTAGAATTATATTAAAACGACTTACTTTGTACGAATAAATTTAAAAATAATATTAAATTGCTTTATTCAACAATGTGAGTTTAGTTATCTATATTATTTTGTACAATATTATATAAATCTGAAGGCGCAACCATCGAGTATTTTCGCTTATATTCTTTATCTTCGGAGGAATAATATAGGAAAAAAAACGAAAAAAACAAAAAAAAAGTTCTGAATTCTGCCAACATTTTCGATATGTAAATTTCTGTTGCATGCAGATAAATGTAAACATATAAATTGTATACAGATTTGTTGCAGAACTTTTTTATTTTTGTGTTATGTTTATTTTCTCATAAGTTTAATAAGCCTGTTACGTAACGCAGAGGCGATAACATTCGTTTCTGTATAATTTATTCTTAATATTTAATTATTTTCTGCAAAATAAATAAAATCAGAATAGAAATATAATTCGTGCCTGAATCATTTTAACGCATGTGAAATAAAGTAACACTCAAAAAAGTTTTTTTAGCACTTTTCCAAAAAATTTGTGAAAAAAAGTGCTTATTTGTTTGACTCTGTTCCATCTGCCATGTGTCTATACTTGAATTTAAAAACAAACAAAATGGCCGTTAAAATCCGCTTTTTCTAAATTTTTGATGCCGGTTTGCTCCTAAACCCCAAGTTGTAAAAATCTGAAATTTTCAGAAATCAACAGCTTTCAGAAATTTATGAATAGTTTATTTCGTTAGTAGAAAATTTTTTTCCACCTCCACTCTTTTTCAAGTTATCGCCTCTCGAAATTTGTAAAATTTGAATATTTGGCACTTTATATTAACAAAACCGGAAGCTTTTTCAAATTTCTATAACCGCAAAAAGCTAACGGTAAATTCCATAACATTAAAAAATATAATTATTTTTTTTTAACTCACACAATTAATCCTTAAAATCGAGCATTATACTAACCCGTCTTAAAATTTATTTTTGCTTTATTTCAAAGAGTGCATAGATCGTTCATCCTAAATATATGCAATCCTAGAAATAGTTTCGTATATGAATGAAAGTAATTTTAATAGTGTGGTAGGTATACATAGAATGTTTTTCAAAGCAGTATTTTAACTTGTTGAAAGGAAAAGTGCTACAATACAAACCATTGGTTTGACCCAACTTTATTTTTACTTATTTTTGGAAAAAGTTTTTGTGCATTTATATTATGCTATAATAGAAAAATAATGTACATATATGTAAATTTGTACATATGTATATAACAATTACGGATCATTTCGTTTGATTGACACATCCGGCATAATGTAAATATAAAGTAAATGGAACAAAATATACGGGCCAAGTTTACATTTTTGCACATATAAAGAGAAAAAATCATTCAATTTCCGTGAAATTTAATATTTACAATCAGTATGTCAACACCATGAACTTATAAATTTTTTGGAAAAGCCACGGCTCGGACTTGTTATCATATCTATGAAGCTAATTAATGGACTTTCTTAAAATTAAGAGTTTGAGTTTTAATAAAATGAGCCTCTCATAAGAGCTCATTTATATTTTTCTAGGTATGTTAACTAAAAACGTACTAACCTCTCTAAAATTTATGAGAAGTATTTAAAAGGCATTTTTGTAATCTCATGCAACATTTTAGCTAAACTAGACTGTAAATATAAAGTAAATGGAACAAAATATACGGGCCAAGTTTACATTTTTGCACATATAAAGAGAAAAAATCATTCAATTTCCGTGAAATTTAATATTTACAATCAGTATGTCAACACCATGAACTTATAAATTTTTTGGAAAAGCCACGGCTCGGACTTGTTATCATATCTATGAAGCTAATTAATGGACTTTCTTAAAATTAAGAGTTTGAGTTTTAATAAAATGAGCCTCTCATAAGAGCTCATTTATATTTTTCTAGGTATGTTAACTAAAAACGTACTAACCTCTCTAAAATTTATGAGAAGTATTTAAAAGGCATTTTTGTAATCTCATGCAACATTTTAGCTAAACTAGACAATATCCTGCATGTGTTCGTATCAGATTATTTTTTGATGTAAATCAACATAATGCTTGCAAAAAATATTACAACTTATTATGTTAGTTAATATGTTAAGTTCATGTAGAATCTAATGTGTATACATATTACATCTGTAGGTTTAGCTTCATTTGAATATAAATTTATTCATGCGGAGCATTAATATATATTACACGATCGAGTAGTAACGCGTCTTTA